GCTATTGTTGTTGTTCTTGCTGTTTTTATTTTTATTATTCAAGGTCACTTACAGTGCATCTGCCCTGATCATCAACATCCCTGACTGTGTGTAATAGTATGGCTTTTGTATTTCACACCAAAAGTCACTGGGGGTTCTGATCATCAGCTCTAGAAATATGCTACATGCCATATTTAGCCACAGAAGGCATTTTTAGGTTTCCAAGAAAGTGGGAAATATTAGTTTGTTTATTTCTCTGATTCTTTTCCAACATTTTCTTAATGTCTTTTTATTACCTGAATATACTCATAAATCCAGAACAAAGCAATTAAGCCATTTAATATGGCCAAAATGGATGCATAAATGTGGTCATCTCTCAAGTGGTCTCTGTAGTCTTTGGAACCCCACTAAAGAGTATAATCCTGGGGTAGTGGAAATTAAATGAGTAAATATATGTAAAACTCAAAAAGTAAGAGCCTGGCACTGTTAATTATGAAAATGACAGTCATACAGTGTGTAAAACAAATATGGAAGAGAAGAGTGGGGCATAGAGATGAAAGGAATAAAAAAGCAAATGTTTCTTACCCTGTATTCTTTCACAAACAAACCCATGACCTTCTTTTCCACAGTCTTCAAAATACCATTTTCCAGTGAAATGAAAATTAGGATTACTTGATAGCAAGGCACAGAGAGTAATATGTTTTTGAACTTCAGTGGTGTTATGACTTGGAATCTTTAAAAAGATACATATTTTTTTAAAAAAATGGTAACATATAGCATTATTATAACACTGACATTTTTATCAAGGACAATTTAAAAAATTCAAACAGTATTATTCCTTTATTTGCATTTAATAAACCTGTTCACAGATCACTTCATAACCTACAAGGTAAATAATTATTATGATAGTAATTACACTAATGGAACACATGAAAATGATATGTAATTACATTATTAAAATTAATATATTAATAACAGACTAATATAAATTTGTGCCTATAAAGTATAACAAGTAAAAAAATACTTTAGTAAGTATCAAATAGGATCTCTTGGTAAAATGATTTCTAAAAAATAAATCTGAAAACTTACGTTTATTACATCAGATGGAGACCAGTTAGAATATGCCACAGGCTTTCCATTTACCCATTTTTCATAATTATCATTTTGTAACCCTATCCACACATTAGTGGTCTGACCAAAAAGATTCATAGTAATGAAAGCTGAAAAACAGGAATACATTATCAAATTTAATACCATATAAACCATTTGGGTAATCATAGAATTCTGTTTATAGTTATGATTTTATTTAAACGACAGCAAAACTTAATTACCAATCAGTTGTAGGAATTGGTTACTTTGTTCTTATTAGGGTAATGCAGTCTCTTTTACTTCTGTTTCAGTTTAAATTGACACACACTAGCTGGCTAAACCTGGGATTTCATCATATTATTAACAAAACTATTTCCAGTGTTCATTCAGTGCCTTTCTAAACAAAAGAGGATTTATCTACTATACTTAAACTGAAGTATACAATTGTCTAAATATCAAATACAAGTGTACAGGTAAATCTAAAGGGATCTAAAAATTATACCATGCAATTATAAAAGAATATACCTCAGATTATGTTAGCCATTTTGAAATACAGATCATAAATATGTCCTTATTTTTTCCACTACTACTGGGGAGACAAAAACCTCCAAAAATCAGCAGTTTATAAGCAATGCAATGTACTTTTACAGATGTCATGATATAAGCCTCATAGGTTAAACTGAAAATTTATGTGTCATCAGCAATATAATACTTAAAATGTGGATTTGGAAATATTAGTATTTGGGGGGAACATTATAATAAATATTTGAATAAAAAAGTTATTTTTGCTTGATTGAACATGGAGTACTCTACCTTGCTCCACCTCATTTTCAATGGCGACTAGTGCTCCCCCTTCTTCAACACAGAAATCCTGAGCAGATGTCCAGTTCTTCCAATCACTTGGGTCTTTGGGGATTTTCACCAAAAGGCACTTTTAAAAAAATGTCCAAAAAAAAGCATTCATTTCCATATTTTCCTAAATGAGTTAAAAACCTCCCAAAGACACTGGGGATCAAACTTTAGAATTCTTTATAATTTTCTGAAGCAGAAATGACTCATTTTTTTTTCTTTGAGCTGCTCCAAAGGTATGAAAGTAAAACAGAGGACCGGCTTTTAGGGTAAGTCAATATTTGCATGCATTTGTATCCGGCAGGAACAGAAGCAAGGATGTGCTTTGTTATGCAGGATATCAGAACAATGTCTTCTGCTCAGTGAAAAACAGTATTCCTTTTTAAAAGGAGCCAGCCTGATTGCAAAGGGTATAGTGGTAGATTTAATTTTTTTTTAAATTTGGAGGTAGCAATTAATAGCTTAGTTCAGTTTTATTTACAAATACACTTCCTCCCTTTAAGTGAGAGAGGAATACTAGGGAATCAAACCGCATCAGGTATTTAAATTCACTAATTACTTGAGTTAGCGATGTGGTTTTTAAGTCCACAAGGAAGAGCCAGAGAAGAAAAACATGAGCACAGTTGGAAGGGAAGCAAGGGCAGAACCAAGGAAACCTAGGAAGGAGAAACAGAAGTCTGTGGAATTTGGCAGTGAGAATTGATTGTTACTCATGAGAGAATCATGTCTGTGGCACGGCAGGGTTAGTCATTATGGGGTGAGAAGTGGCACAGTAACTACTGGACAGGTCAGGTAGGGTCAGTGAAATTTAAACATGTTAATAGGGCCAGGTGGAGTCAGGGGAGAGGGAGAGATAGAAAAGACAGGCTATAGGGGATCAGGCAAATTTCCAGAGAAGTCAGGAGAGACTGTATACAAAGGATATTCCATGTGGACTATTCTCTTATCAATGAACACAGGCAAACCCATTCATAGATAGGTTAGATCTCAAGATTTCGCCACCAAGGAAACCCCAGTTACAAGACAATTCTAGGCTAGTGTGGAAGCCTACACTTGAGAGAGCATCCTTCCCCATCCTCCTTTGGAATGACATCTTTCCTCATCCTTTAATTTCTATATTTGTCAGTCCCCCCACCCTTCCCCATCATCATAAACTCCTTAAAAAGCAGAGAGACTTTTCTTTGCTCTTCTCTGACCATCACAACAAAGAAGTTCCCCAGTAAATATTTATGGAACGTAATAAAAGCCAATAGACCCCTAACTAGTTGTCAAATGACATTCTCAAGCATTCTAGATTTAGTCCAGTGGTTCCCAAAGGGGAGCATTCAATAACGTCTGGAGACGTTTTTGGTTGTCATAGCTCAAGGGGGGAGCTTTGCTATCGGTGAGTAGAGTACAGGGATGCTGCTAAACATTCTATAATGCATAGGGCAGTCCCCTCATAACAAAGAATTATCCAGCTCCAAATGTCAATAGTGCCCAGGTAGTTCTTTTCAGAACTTAATCCTGATCATGTCACTCTTTAGTTTAAAACTATTAGGGATTTTCCATAAATAAATAAATAAATAAAACTATTAGGGATTGTCCACTGTTTTTAGGATAAAAACCAGAAACACTGATGTAGCCTGGAGTTACCAACTAACAGAGGAAGTACATTTTCAATTCTTCTGGTCCTCTTTACCTTGTTTGCTTCACAAAGAAATGGAATTGGCTTTAAAGGATTTTAATTTTATAACAACTATTCCTTTATCTATTTCCTTTCATTTTGCCTCTTTTCTCTAATTACAAATTCCAGAGAGTGGCACACACTAATTATTAGGCAGTCTTATCATTTAATGTGAATTCTTCACCTTGTGTTCAGATAGTCACACTAATGAACCATTCATAAATACCAGTGAACCTCATTGGTTTAGTTAGCTCAATAAATCTTTCCAGAAAACACACACACACACACACACACACACACGCCCCCATCCTACCCTCCTACTCCCCCATCCCCCCACGTTGGCCTCAGCCACGATTTACTAGATTATTTCTTATTCCCACAACTTCATTGTTTCTTAAAAAACCCAAAAACATATTTACTAACACAGTTTGAAATGGTGTCATTAGTAATTAAAGCAAAGCAGTAAGATGAAGTACAGCACTCAATTTTAAATTGTTTATTTACTTACTAATTTGCAAAATGTGATCAAGTTTAATGCATCCCTTATTATTGCTGTGAATTAAGGATATTCTACTGTATTGCAAACAGGTTTTGAATATAAATTCTTTATCTCAAAGTCATTTCCAGTTCAAAATTTGAAAGTGGAATTTATGACCTTTCTCCCAAACTTCGTCCTTTTCCAGTGTTCTTACTGATGTTGACTGGCAAAGTCAGCCATGTATTTATATAAGCCTGAAACCTGGGAGTCTCCTTGCCTTCCCACTCCATCCCCCTTTCAATTACCATTTAGACATACATCCCATTTCTCAGAGTCCTTTCTCGTTCTTCCCATTCCTGCCACCTCACAGCCTTCACTATCTTAGCCCAAACTACTTCTCTCTTCCCTGGACTATTACAGTAACTTCCCAACCACTCTTAAAACCTTCCTCATCCTTGCCTTCCTCCAATCTGTCTTTGCCATTGCAACTTGAATGATTCTTTTCAAAACTCAGTGCTGATCATGTCCTTCTTTCGTTAAAACCCTTGAGGGGTTTCCTATTGTTCTTAGGATAAAAACAGAAACTCTTTTCATCACTTTTCACACTCTAGTTCTCTATGCTTCCTTTAGTTTCTTCAATAAGTCCATTCCCTCTCACCACAGTACTTTAGCACATGCTATA